TTCAAATATAAAATACATAGTAGATAAAAATGATTTTTTAAGTGTTTTGGGGAAATTATCCCTAGTAACTAAGGAATTTTTTGTCTTGAAGATTCTGAAGTCACCTTTTAAATGTCTTGTGCAATGACTGTAACAAAGGCAGGTTTCTTTGTTGAGAAGAGGTTGAGGGGGCATCCTGCTATACTGTGATCTCCCCAAGGAGATGGTTATTATTTGCACCTATGAAAGTATAAAGACATTATGTCAGTATCTGTGTTTATCTCAGTTTTTGTGTTTCTATGAAAACATTCATGTTAAGTCAAAAGTCTTTATAGAAAAGCACAAGTTAAAATGACACCTGATTGTCATATTTGGTAGTATTGTTTCACAAATAGCAACAAGGCCTGTTAAACAGAAGAAATGCTTATTATTTATTCTCTGCAGAAAGCTATACTAAGATCCTCTGCCCTTATTTTCTCAAATATCTTTGGAGAGATTTACATGAACTCCATGCTCATCCTTAGGAAAAAGGTATTAACAGTTGAGTTGGTCCATCTTAGATCCATGCCAGTGCTACCCCTCTCCCTCATCCTTAGTAGCTGTACCTTTTTATTACCTTTTTTGTAATGGGTTTTCAAATAGTTGTTGATAGATTATCTTATTATGGTGTTTATTGACTCTTTAACATTTATGGATCTTTTTTACAGTTAAATCGTCGATCTGGAATTGTTGCTACTAGTACTGGTGATTTCATCTTGAAGACATATGTAAGACGAAACAAGACTGGAAGTTTTAAAACTTTGAAAGGCAACCCAATTGGACTTAACATGTTGAGCAACAATAAGAAATTGAGGTATAGGTGCTTCACCACATATTCCTACAGAAAAGATAAAGAAAGGGTTTGACACCAAAAACTAACTACCTTTGTGGCCAGTAGGCCCAACCTATACCATTTCTTTTGAATTCGTCAGTAGCGACAAGAGATAGGATGGTTCCAGTATGTGGATTCTTTGCTTTGAATCTTGGGAGTAGGATTGATTGCAGTGATTTCTTCATTCTAAATAAAACATATTGCAAGAAACATTTCAGTAGGCTGGGATCTCATGAGTTTGCTTTCATACAGTTAGTAGAATCTCAGTCATAATATGAGAAGTAGATGGCATCATAGGGTGGGGTGGTCATCTTTAGAAGACGCTAATCAAGATTATGTCCACGAGGAACTTTTTTTTAATTTAATTTTTTTTTTTTTTTAA